AAACTTTCCTTTTTCTAGGTAAGATTTTCCTTTCTTAAGCTTATGACTCACAATTCTTGCTCTGTGAGCCACATGAAATATGCGATTACTCTGTGAAATAGGACCAATGTCCTCAAAAGACCAGACAATAGCATGACGCTTGGGATTGTGTCACGGAAGTGGGAGATGTGACTACAAATCCTTCTGGAAGTTTAATCCAGGTTTTCCATATCCGTGGCAGATGTTCTAATGTCCATCAGTACAGTGGTTTTAAAAAAAACATGGTGGCATAACATCATCTTCCATGGTTTTGCTAAAGAGTGGAAAAAACCTGAGAACGTCTTTTGGATATTTGTGCCTCTGATTTAAGATTGGTAAAACACAAGGGTGCACAGGACAGCTGTCACCAAAGTCGTTTCATTAAGGCAAGGCTTTGCTTGTGTGGTTCAGGAAGAGAATTTTAGCTAACTGTTAAAAGATATACAGATGCTTAGAAATTTGGGGGTGTGTGTATATATATATATATGTATATATATATAAAATGGGTATTTTAAGAATTGTCCCTTTTTATTTGGGCTCAAAAGACCCTGTTACTTGCATTGGTAAATCACAGATTGAGAGTCCTAGCATGTTTACATTTCTGAGGTTTAGGCCTTTAGGAAAACTCCACTCTGTAATGCCCCAGCAGCCTTCCAAAAAGCAGCCACAGTCTTACGCAAGAGTTAAGCACAGTCTAGCAGAAAACAGACCTGAAGGACAAATAACTTTGTACCAAGTTCTTGAAACAATGGCCTAGCAATGTATATTAAGAGTGAGATTAACAATAAGCTTCTGTTCCCCATTTCCTGAAAAGGCCTTCTCATATTTATTTTCCTGTTCAGTTTTAACTGTTTGCTTTTGGAACAGAGGAAGTTAGTTTTACTAACAAAGTAGGCAGGCTTATTATCCTGTTGGTCCAGTTTCAGAATGATAGCTGTAGTGGCTGTAGTCATTTTTCACATCATTATGAGAGCAGTTACATGGTTTGCACCCAGTTATATGGAACTGGCTAAAGTATTGGAATTGGTTCTAACAGGTGACTAAGAGCATTTAAATATTTAGATAATGTGCTTTCAGTAGTTGGAGGGTGTCAAATGCTTGTGATTTCTCTTCAAACTTGAGAGTATCCTTATGTTTTAATGTAGTTATTTGGTGCTGATTTAAAGGTATAATAATAATTTTTAGTGGATTCTGTGTTATTAAACATATTAAAATTATACTGTAGCTGCTTATTATAACTGTAAAAGGACTTACAAAAAATGGCTAGAGGTTTCAGTCTAACATAAATCTAAAGTCAAAAATGAGACTTCCATACAGCTAAAGATCCTTGGTCTCTTAAAGAGAATGCAGGTCTGCTGTTCTGCAGAACAACAGCAGAGTCAATGCTTCCTGAACCATATGCCATTTTGCAGACCAGTTCGTGCTAATAACGTGAGAATGTGAATCTTTCTACTTGCTATCTTGATCTCTGTCTTTCAAATGCATGAATTATGTGTAGAACACTTCTGTGACAAATTCAGAAAGCTGCTTTGATGCTTGTTTGAGTATAGGCATCCCTGGCACTAAGTTCAGTTAACACATATTCATGCATTTTTACTTATGTTATGCAGGATTAACCACAAATAATGTTGTATATGACCTATGAGTAGCAAGGTATTCCATCCTGTCCAGGAGCATGGCCACCCTTCTTCACAGTTCCATTGCTTTTCAGCAGTGGAGGCTACTGAAAATACACGAGACATTGAAAAATAAAGTCCTATTTCTAAGATCCTTCAAGTTCCTGTATGTCTAAAACACTTTTGAGACTAGGTGAAGTCCAGGACAAAGCATGTGATCCACAGCTTTCCTTCTGTAGATTTCTTTTTTCCCTGCACTCTAAAAAATACCCATTTCAGAGATTGAGATGATCAGTTCTATGAATGAACACTCTCAAAGGAGACTTCTGAAAACAGAGTTACATCCATTTTGCTTCCATTCTTAATATTAAATTCATTTTATGTTACCTGTCATAGTTCCGATGAAATTCAAATTTTATCTGGAAATAAAAAAACAGATGAAAGAAATTGTATCCATACTCCTCTCTTCTTCCTGTGGCAGGTAACATGCAATTCATTAAGGCATACTGTCATACTACTCAAAGGAATTCTAGTAATCTTAAAGTATATTAATAGAATCATGTATAGAATAATACAAGGAAAAGGAGTCATTACACCTGGCTGTGCAGTGTTCACCTGCATATCTTGAAATGTACAGGGACACTTCTCAAAAGGATTATTCTTCTTCGGCCCTTCCATATGAAGCTGAGCAGTGACTTCTGTGACTCTACTGTGTTTGAAAGGCTAGGCTTAGAAAAATCAAGATTTCCTTTATGTGAATTTGTGCAGTGAAGCAGGTATGCAAATTTTGTCTTTCAGTATTTTGAACAACCTTCTGGATCTCTTACCTATCAAGATTGTTTCCTCTGGTTTATGGAAATTTCTGTAGTGTCTGTCCTATAGCGTCTGGCTACAGAGGTCCTGCAGACTTGCACCAAGTACCTACAGCAGCACCAGAACTGTACACTTCTTGGTCATGTTTGAGTTCTTTAGTGTTAAAAATTGATTAAATCACACTGAAGTGGGTCACTAAAGAAATTATATTGTTAATTTTAGTATTGCTAATAGCCATAAAATGAAAGAGATTTTTGTCAGTCCCTTAAAAGCATAAGGTGACAGTCTTGGTAGTAGTGACATATTTGTCTGTTTTACTAACAAACATACATGTACATTTATCTGTGAGGCCTAGATGACAGATGTGATATTTCTGACATCTCATGTTTCCTGTGGATAAAAGATGATCTGATTTGTATGCAGTAGCTAAAGCACCTTAGTATATATTGAAACAGTGCTTTTGTCATGTTTAGTAAATGCTGTAAATACTAATAGGTAAACTGTCATTTGTTTACACAAGTACAGTTGCAGAGGGTGTGTGAAGAAACAAGGTACCAAGATAGGTTAAGTGCTGATGGTGACTCAGCTAATGGTAAATCTGTCTTCTGAGAAGATGCCTCTGAGAAGAAATGCTGAGCTGCCAAGTGTTGTGTATTAAATTGTGTCAGTAGTAAATTGATACTGCCAATAATGACTTCAACGCATACTTTTAGTTTTGTACTTGTGCAGTATTAGTATTCAGCATGTGGATATTTATTGATTTAGCTTGTAACCACCAGATGAAAGCATTATGGATGGCAAGGTAATGTAGAATCTGACACTAGTGGTCTGCTAGATAGAGGTCTTGTATTTATTTACAAACTATACTGCTTGTTCCACTTGGCATTAGAGCTCTAAAGCTGGCTATAACTCACACATTATCTGAAATTTAAGCTATTGGAGTCCTTGAATATCTTTGTTCCTGAATGTCAAATCTAAACTGAGCTTTTTATCTTTGCTGGACTAGTTTTGTGGTAAAATGATGGTCTTAAAATTAGACATGAGGAATGAAGTGGCAATAATGATTAATTTCACAGGTTGGTATTTAGAGTTTGTGGGTTTCGTTGTAGCTTCTTTTAACTGTTCTAACACTAAGAATAGCTGAGATCAAATGGGAAGGATGTTTTTGAGCTAACACTATAAGAAGGAATTTTTGCTGTATTTTTACATTTAGCAGCTTTTTTTGTTATTGTTTTAAGTGTTCTATAGCTAATGATTTTTATGCAGGTCTTCTTTTATGCTTTTCATGTTTGTTTATAACAATGAGCATTGCTTTACTCATTTAACAGTTTAATAAATAGCTTGTGTCTGGCATCCTGTTTCATGTGTCCATGAAACTTCCAAACAGCTACTGTTTTTGAATAAATCAGAAATGAAGGTGTTCTAAAATGTTATCAAATTATTGTGCTTAAGTAGATGTGACTGGAAATGTAGCAGATATTGAAACATTTTGCAATCTTACCAGACCAGCCTGTTTTAGGTTTTGAGCTGTGAAAGTAACTGTAAGTCTCATAACTTTTCCTTGAACAAAAGTAACAAAATTTTTCAGTGGCAGTACCTAACAGTATGGTGATGTTTGAGAACTTTTTCTGAGGAAGCAAAACCAAGAATTGCTGAGATATACAGAGGGAAGTTATAGAGAGGGATATGATGGAACCTTTCTCCTCTACCAGAAGAGGCTGCAAAAAATTAAACAGTGATAATTTTTCACTGACTCAGTTTATCTATGTTTTCTTAAACTTCAAAGTAATTAGCTTTTATGTACCTGTGAAGATGTTCAGGGTCTTTTCTTAGAGTCATTACTTTGTATTTACACTTTCTGTTTTCCAGTATTTTTACATTATGGGAGGGTAAGTTGATTGGTTTGCAACATGACAGAGGAGGACAGGAAGATATTTATCGTGTCAGTGATATGGTCCAAAAAAATTGGAATTCCAGCAGCTTCAGGTCATTAGGCTTCCAGAATAGTTCTGTTGCTGAAACTGGAAACTTGAGATGCAGACTAGAAACAAACTATTGCCTTCAGTCTTGGTATACTGATTTGTCCTGTCCTTGGATGTGTTTACCAGTCAGATATGATGGACTTTAATGCACATAGAATTACTCCCATCTCAGATGAAATGCTTTGTAGAGAAGGCAAAATATCTTCAGAGATAACCAAACTCAGAAGGTGTTCTTCATATTGAAAAAAAATCCATAGTGGTTCATTGTCAAAGCTAAAAGTTATAATCTTCAAGGTCCCTGATCTCCTTTTAACAGTAGCTTGGTTTGGTTTTTTTCATCAACAGTAGTTGTTCCTGGCTTCTTCTGTTTCTTTAAATAAGAAATTGGACAATGAACAAAGTTTTTTTTGCTATGGATTTCCTGATTTTTTTAGCTTGGGTTGGGAGGCTGCTTGTCCTGTAGTACATTTTCATTTCGATAGTAGGCAAGCCCATTACTGCTGAAAATAGCTCAAATGTTCTTTGAAAAAAAAAGCCAGCAGCTTAGACTCTTTCTCTTTCTCTTTTGCAGACTCTTGCATGTGAGTTAAATTAATTTCTTGAGAGAAACCTTCATAAAGGGCTAAATACACAAGGTCTACATACACAGAAATTTCTTTCTGCTGCATTTGAGACACAGCTAAACCCGTCTGTCTGGTAAGTCATACTTTTCTTAAGGATTTGTCTTTCTTCCCACCCTTATGACTTGCATTTCTGAGTTTCTGATTAGCGTTCAGAGAAAACCAGCTTTGGCTTCCTGGTAGTACTGGTGCATTCTGTATATGAAGTACAAAGATCAAGCTCCAAAGGCATTTCTGTGCTGCTTTTACAAACTTCAGAATAGTAGCTATTAGTATCTATTCTGTATGGTACTTTGGTATACATGGGGTTTAATCATTTATCTAGTGCTTTGTTCTAATTTTGCTGTAATGAAGGCATTAAATGTTTTAAAGCAAATGTGGTGATTGTTCTGCCCTGGATTTACCTGTTTGAATGTTCTGCATTTAATAAAGTAATGTAAGAATGTGTATTGCAAAGTATATTCAGTGTCAAGGCAGAGTTTAAAAATAAACTTTCCCAACATTCATTCATGTCTCATTGATTTTTGGTTTCACCTCTTCTAGATAAAGTAGGTTGATGTTATTAAGTACAATGCTTTATTTTCCTTGGTGATGTGCCTATTATATGGGACAGTCAGCATACTTATCAGTAGTCTTTAATTGATCATATAATTCTGTAACAGTTCTATTAAAGGTATGTCTTATAGTTTCCTTGAGTTTTGATTGTACAGCTTGAAAGATTTTTTTTCCCTTTGATTATGAAGTATTAACTGAGTTTGACCCAAAAAAAAGTAAGCTTGTCCTCTACCTTCCATTTTTATTCTTTACTGCAATAAAATGAAGAAAGTCTTGGAAGAGCAGAAAATGTTTTGCTCTGTGCTGAGGTTTTTCTAAGCAGTTGGCTGGCATTAGATGGCACCCTATATATACCCAGTCCATCTGATCACTTATGCTGCAATGCTTTGGCTTACCACAATTACTGTGTACTTAGATACTGCATGCCCTGGCTCTGCACAGCTCATTTTGCAGGCTTTGCTACAGCCCTGACATCAGTTTATTTCAAAAAATATGTTGAAAACCCAATGTCATATTTAAAATAAGTGTTATATTTAATGTCAAGCAATAGTTATCTTTTCATAGAAAAAACCCCAAACAAAACAGATCAACATTCTTGCATAGAAACTGTTTGGAGGCTTTCTAATTAATTTAAGTTTTAGTCAGAAGCTTTCCATCTTATTTTTGGATAAAAAGAGAAAAGCTGGAATGGATGTCTAGATTTCATAAAAAAATCTTACTTGTGTTACATTGATGGCTTTTATATTAAAGGAGTTTTTCACCTGAAAATTACTTCTCAAAAAGCTGAAGCTTCTGAAGGAACTTAAGACACCTCAGAGGCCATGCTGCAGTTACTCTTTAAGCAATTTAGAAATATATGATCCCTTAATATGTCCAAAGACATAGCTGGAGGAGAAATTACACATAAATGGCTGGATAATAGACAAAAATATATACTAATTATTTTCAATTAAAAACACTGCTGGAACTGTTCAAAGTAAGGGCCAGTGATGGTCTATTAATGGTAACTTCTTAATTCTGTAAGTTTGAATTTACTGTATATTTTGTATGCAATTTTTGAGTGAATAGCAGGGCTGACTTAGAGGAACTGGTATCTGGCACGCTGACACAACCCAAACTTTAGCTGAGTGAACTTGGCACAAAATTGAACATAAGAGAGAAAATCTCAGGAGAGCAGTGGAATTCCTTTCCTTGAATAAGTATACCTTAGCATTCATGGGGAACAAATGGTAACATTTGTGCACGTTTCTGCATTTGACAATGTGTCTTTGTTCACTTCCCAAAACGGATGTCAAAATATACTGAAAGAAAAAAGCCAACAACTTTCTTATTTGAATTTTTCATTTTACTTAATTTTATGGTCTCAAGGAACGCATTAAATCTGGGGTGGCTTAACACCATTGTTTATAACTGAGAAAAAAGGCTCAGTTAGTGCAGTTTGGTTACACAACTGTGTTCTCTCCTTAGTGTCTTTGTGAGCTCAAATAGAAGGGTGGGAGGCAGGTGTATCTATCAGCATTTTATGATGGAATTATTTTATCAAAGTGTCTCAAAAAATATTTTCTTTTTGTCCACATAAGTGTTATCCAAACAAAATACCATATTACTGAACTGTTACCTTGAGAAACAGAGGATCATGGTAACTTAGATTTCTTGTTAAAAGCTTTGTGCTGAGAAAGACCTTAGCTTAATGTGCTGTTTAGTCATGATGTTACTTCCATGGTGTGGTCTTCTGTTCATTTACTGATGGCAGTGGAGTTTTATGAGAACTGTTCTGTATGGGATTCTCATTTATGATCTAAGCGTATCAGCAGAGCATGGTAATGGGGTGAAACTGCGTGGATTTAATATGTGACAATGCTGGAGAAGAAAAAGGTGTTTTGAACACTTGAAGTTGAGAACTGGTGATATAGTAAATGAATCTGAGTAAAAGGTCATGGTGCAGCCATCTCTTCCTCACATTAACTGCAGACTGGGGATGTACCAAAATGGAGATGCTGAGAACATTCATATGGGTCACCTCTGAGTTGTGTCTGCACTGGACTACCTGGCCATGTGGTATTTTCAGATAGCAATAATAGCTCTGGAAAAAGTTTGTGATGTGATTCTGTATGTAAGCAGCTGCTATAGAGGGCTGCAATTTTTATGGCATCCTGGTTATCTCGTGTCTGCAGCAGTGCAAAATTGCAATGCCTCTTTGTTGGCTTTGGAGCTTTGGCTGTGCTTAACCTTTCAATTGATCCAAATGAAAAAGGAGCTGGCAGGATTCCCAGTTTCTCACTGTAGCCTCTGCTTATCATCATTAATCTGTGGTTTGGGGGAAGAGAGTAAAATTAATCACTTTATGTGGGATCTCAGCACCTCAGGACTGAGGTGCCGAGTCACCGAGACCACCCTCGGGGGGCTCGGGAGTCCTGGAATGTTGCCAGAAGTGTCTGGTGGCTGGACTTTGATCCTACACAGGAGACGACACCTGTATGAGGATAGGAGAATTCCACCGGGGTGAATGGTGAAGGGATTAGTTAATTAGAGGGTGAGACACAGGGTTTAGGATTTCTGTACAGGGGGGTTTAGAGAAGTAAGATGGAGGAATTGGGGCGTGTCCTGTCCTTCTTCTTCTTCTTCTTCTCCTCCATCTTCTGTGGTGATGGTGGCACTTTGGGATTGGTCATTACTGAAAGTGCACCGGGCAATAAGAATAAATGGTATTGGGGAAAAATGATAAATATTGTACACGTAACTATGGGTATAAAGATAGGTGACTGTCCGGAGGGCAGGACAGTGTGCTCATGGCTGGCTGCTGAGCAGACCTCTGTCGGGCCGAAAGAAAATCTTTTAGATAAACAATTAATAAACATAGAGACCGAAAGAAGAACTGAAGCCTCTTCTCGTCCTTTGATACGCGGGCTGCCCCAAGGCCACTCCAGGCCCTTCCAGGCCCTCCAAACAGCCGAAAACCAGACAATTTTATTAATATTCAAGTACAGCAGTCAGCATCTTCTGTAAGAATTAGTAATTTTAACTATAATTTCTAAGGTTTTGGTTGCTTAACTTTTTTAAGAAAACCACTGTCTTTTAGATAAATATTTTCCATGTTCTACAACTTCAGAAGTATTAATTTTCCATCTTTAAAAAAAGTAATAGTTGCAAGTGAAAAGCAGGTACTTTTGCATATGAAGCAATAAATAATTTTCACTTCTGCTCCAAGCCTTGAGTTTCATTTGATTCTAGTTTTTATATACATTAGGAAAGTACTCTTTTAGGAATAAAGTTGCATATACATGGCAGACAATTCACCTTTCTAGCTGCAGAACCACAGAATGGGTAAGATTGGAAGGAAGCACAGCGAGGTCATCTGGTCCAAAATCCCTCCACTTATATGCTTGTACTTTATTGAGAAAAGCATGCTTTTAAGCACTTTCTCTTCCTAAGTAATCTAATAAGTATGCTTTAATCTGTTTTCAAGGTGGCTCACATAAGGCATTATCTGTTTATACTTGTAAGACTGCATTTGTCTCCATAATATTAGTGTCTCAAGAATTGGTATGTTTCCTTAGTGACTTATGTGCCTAAATGTTTAATGCTGTTAGAATGTTTGATGCTATGTCATCTTTAGTGCTGGACATGACCTGGGCACCTCAGTTCCTTCCACACTTGAGACTGCTAATGACTTGTTTCCCAGAAAGGTTCCCTGTAACACTCATTTAGTACAGATGCAATTAGAAAGGAACTGTCCTGGTGCAAAGGAGACTTTTAGCATGTGTAGCTTTACTAGTCTGTGCAAAAAGAACAGGTGAAAAAGGCAGTAGCAGCTCCAGCCTTTTGAAGCTAAAAATTCCCAGCACGAAGTTCCCACGTGAGGAGCCTCTTGACTTTGAAACTGCTCCTTTGGGCACCTGCATAGGATTCACTCACTTGTGTGTTTATCTTGATGGATCTAGTGAGCTAAGGCATGAGGTGCAGCTGAGTGCAGCAGGGCTGGATGTGTGACCCTGGATCTCTGTGACCTCCTGGAAAGCAGTGGATTTCTTCTCTGAAGTCAAAAGAGGGAGAAATAAGATCAACAGACATAAACAGTTTATGTATCTAACAATGTCCTAGTGTCTTATTTAATTCCTGGGAGGGAAGGAAGCAGAGGAGGTACAAATGGGAAGGTAAGCTATGTTGTTCATGTAAAGGGACAGTTGATTTGGAGAACGAGTTGTCTGTCTTGATAAGATTTAGTCTTTCACAACAGTCAAGTTCTGACCAGTGGATGGAATTTTTCAAGAGTGTTTATAGCCTTCAATATATAGAATTAGCTAGTTAATCTTTCCACAGTGATGGTTAGTCAAATAAGGGCACTTGGAACTTGCTCTTAGAGGTCTGTTGGATCTCCAAATGTGTAAAATCACCTTTTGGTTCCTACTTCCCATCTGGGTCCTGCACAGAGCTTTCCAGTGCTGAAAAGGGAAGCTGATGGCTGATTTTAGGAATTTTACAGCTCAGACCCAGAGTAATAGTTTAAAAGTGAGAATAAAA